GTGCATAACAGAGTTTGGTGCGATCAGGTGTGCCAACAGTCTGTGGACCAAGTTCGAACATGTCGCTTCTTTTATTTCACCAAATCGGACCGAGACACAGACATTCCTGGGGATAGGGGTCGCTTATCTCATGGTAGCAACATATAATCATCAAAGAATCAATTCCTCTGTAGCAGTTACTCTGCAAAGTGAAAGCAAAACATTGGTTTTGCCGCTTTAATTCTTTAAGCAAGTTTAGACCGGGCAGGGCAATAGTAGGTCTTAAAGAAGTCTGAATTAAATTAAACTTGTTGAAACCTGCAGGAACCCTGAATTTAGACCCTGATCCCTGCAATGGAAACATATGGAGTTCCTGCAAATGTTCCTGTGGTGGAAATGCAGCTGATAATGTTGTATTGTTATTTCTTTTGAACACTCCACATTTACAGCCGCCTAACTGCCCATTGTGCTTGTGTCTTCCTCTCTACAGTGATTGGTCTGTAACCTCTGTTGGCCACCATGTTCCAGTCTGGAGGAGGTGAAGAAGATTGGACTCTAAATTCTGCTCTTTTGTCTGTCATTGCAAAGGCAAAAGTGTATTCAGCGAATCAGTGACATGCTCTTGATCCAACCTTAAATTGATGATGTTTACACAGACACCAATAATCTGACTATTTGGCTTATTATGGTATTTACATGAATACTTCATTCATATTCCTGTTTACATGTTACACAGCATTGCCTGATGATGCAAAATGTTATGCAAACTCCATAAGAAAGTTATAATTCAATTTAGATGTATACATGTCTGTGCGATTGAGATTGGAACACTCCATGTTTCTTAAATCATCAATATTCCAACATAAGCCCAGTTCAAAGAATTTTCAGATTATCGTAAACTGAATAAAGTCTTACTTGGAATAAACAATAATCATATGGCCTTATGGGGACATGTATACGTCTTAATGACTATATAACATCCTTTTTTCGCAGCATTTGCAACATCGACATTCAGCAGTTACAGAATGCCGGACGTCATAATAAGACCATGCTCTCTAACATGTAAACAGGGATATGAACAGAACATTCTATTAGTAACTCATGTAAACATCATAATCAAAATAATGTCCTATTCAAAATAAGGTAACTAGTCAGATTGTTGCTGTCCATGTAAACATAGTCAGTGTGTTTGTTTGTACCTAGATGAATCCCAGGCCTGTTTAAACTGATATGTATAAGCATTGTTAATCTAGGGCAGCTTGATTAAGGTTAAGGGTCTTGGTGGATGTATCTACTCTACATGATTTCTAACTGCTTTTATTTTTAAGATTAAACACTGAATCTGGCAATTATGAAATCTCTTTCCAATGCAATCACAAAGAGAAAAAAAAGACATATTCCATAAAATTAAAATACAAAGCTGACATCAATGGGACATGATTATTTAGTGTCTGAAATGTTGTCACGTGGTTGAGATAACCTGCTTTTCCATTTTTGCAGTAGCTACTGTAATGCAATTTTTAATCTTTGACTCAACACCATCATGTATTGAAAGCTAAAGCACTATCATTTTATCACTGTTGTTTCAATGTTCTCACTCAAAAATGAATTAATGATATGGGCTGTTTGGGACACATTTATGAAATAAAGCATTTCTTCACTGTGCAATGTTTTAGAGATTGTAAAGATTGTTTTAGATGAAAAATAAAACCTCAACTTCAAATAAACACGATATGAAATTGTTTTTTATTTAAAGTTAAAGTTGAAAACTGCATTTATTCTTTTGTCTTCCAGCCACATGTGGTAAAAGTTAGTTTATGGTTTAATGAGCTCAAGGTGCATAATAACCCTCAAACTTTGTCCTGACAACAAAAAATAATAATTCACAGAAGTGTTGTCATAAAGCACACAGGGTGGACGGACAGATAAACAGAAAGATCAGTAGAGTGCCAGTAATTCAGTGTCTTTGTTTGTTGTGATAGTGTGAGTCTACTTTATGACTCACAGACCTGTGATGTGGGCGAATGGAGACTGCACCCTACATTTGGAGTGTTCTCATAATCGAATCTTTGTGGTACATATTCAAATTGCCCAAAGCTAGGTGACGGGAGGTTGCCTATTTATATAATTATTATTTGATAATTATGTTTTTATTTTATTAAAATCGAATGCATCGCTTGTCCCCATTGTACCAACTTCGGCACTGCTCTTTCCATGACCACCAAGATTACACACGACTACTGTGAAGCCGATAAGATAACAGTTCATGAGATTATTGCTCATATATTTCTATTTTCACTTACATTTTTTTAGACTTAGCTGGTAAATAGGTTGTTTTGATTGGTTTCTTCCATTAAATGTTTTGTTTCTGGGATCTTGAAACAGGCTGGCACAAGAATTTAATTATTTCTTCCCTTGTTAATAAATATGCTTGCACCGTAACACCTGGAATAGACGGGCACGCCACTTCGGAGGAGGGTGGGAGTTTCCGTGTTTGAGTAACCTCAGCGGGGCTGTGGGTGTTCGAGACCGAGCTAGTGTCTGTGTGAGAATCGGCGGACGTGGACATGGACCCCGACACTTTGCTCTACGATGTCCCCCCGGCTGTGCTGGAGAGCTTCCACAGGATCATGGACGGCGGAGGGGACACGCTCGGGTGGCGAGGACTGGGTGAGGGGAGCATCTTTTACACACCAGTCGACCGCAGCCACACATTCAGATCGCTCCACACGATATAGATTTCCTTCAATTCAACTTTATGACAATACAACAATTATGGTCGGTAGTCTTTAAGTTAATTAATGTCCACTGTGAAATAAAAGAAATCCTTAACAAGCCTAAAACCCGTTAACTGTGGACGTTTCATTGAAACTCAGGTGATTAATCAGATGAGGAGGATTTGGTTAAATTATAATCTATCAATACATTTGGTTTGATTTTTTATGTTTCATTTTATTACAAAATTACTTTGGTGGTTAGAAAGCAACTTAAAGGATAGTTCACCCCAAAATGAAAATGGACTCATCATCTACTCACCGCTATGACGGTGGAAGGGTGGGTGAAGTGTTTGAGTCCACAAAACACGTTTGGAGTTTCAGGGGTAAGCAACGTTGCAGCAAAATCCAATTAAAGTAACTATAGTGATCTCTTCTTCAGACGTAATAAAACAACAGAAAGACGTAACAGACCTTCATACATTCAAGTTTGTCGAGACAGGGCCACATTTATGCCATGCATTTAGTTCGCATGTGGATCACAGAGGACATTTAGACTAAAAACAGGATGTAAATGACGCTGTTATGAGTGGAATTTGATTATCTGGCTTTACGTACACTTGGATGACACCACAGGAGCAATATGGAGGCATTTTCTGTTTTTTTATGTCTCTGGTTACTTTATTTGTACTGATATACAATATTCATAAATTACAGTTTGTCGCATCCTCTGCCCTTAACCCTCGACAAGAGGAAAAAGTACCAGAAAAACCCTATTAACAGGTATTAACATGTGAGGGATCCCTCTTCCAGGACGGACTGAAGTGCAATAGGTGTTGCGTGCAGCAGAGCACATCAAAATAACAATATTGATGAGAAAATGATGAGAAAAGACAGGTGAATTCATGTTTTAAGTATTTATGGAAAAGAAAAAGTCTGGCAAAGATGATACAATTTTAATGATAGAGGTGGTTAGTAATACTAGTGTATGGGAGGAGGCATATTTTGTATCCAAGCAATCTAGTCGCAACCATAATCCAGTGTCAGCTGCCACCATGATCCATGATCACAATCCACCACCAAAGGATAAGTGTGGGTAAAAGGAAATGAGTTTCTCCTCTGAGCTTAATATGGCATCTTCTCTATGTCCGTCTTTATTCCTGCACCCCAGCTGTCCGAATCCTCCCCAGCTACTTAGAACTTCGCATGCTGGAGCGCTTGGAGGTGGCAGGTAGGAGTCCCAGCAGGGAGCTGCTGTGGTCCTGGGCCCAGCAGAATACAAGGGTGCGGGACCTGCAGAAGGTGCTGCAGGACATGGGCCACCTCAGGGCCCTGCAGCTCTTCGAGGGTCCAGCTGAAGGTCAGTTACAAACAAAGTTGTATGGCTCCATGATTCACTACATCTACAACCTCTGCTATTCTAGATTCTGACTGAGCACAGTGCGGCTGAATGGGTATCAAGCCTTCCTGGTAATGTGGATGTAAAGCCAATTTACATATCACAGCTCAATAGTTATTTTTTCATATTGACAGTTATCGGATAACACGTGTTATAGATACCAATATGTCTGCAATGGGCCAAATTGCCGGTTGAAATAGCCTGACTGATACATTGATCAGCCTCTACCAGTAAGACTAAAAGGTTGGTTTTGTGTTTCATGTGGCTGATTTAGTTAACATGCAGATTCTTTCCCCATTGTCACCTATTGCTTGGTTGAAGAATAGCTACAATTCAGTCATTGTTTGGTTGAAAGTGAATTATAGCAAATATTCATTAAATAGTCATGATAGTGGATAAAGTAACCACACCGGATGCTCTTTATCAGTCCATCAGAAATGTATCTGGAATTAAGAAACCCTCTGATTCATATTTTCTCTTATTGTTGTGCCCCAAAATAAGAAAAGCTTAAAAAAAAACTCTCAGTGACACCATCAATCTTATTTAGTGTCATCATGCAATAAATTCCACTAAATAAAAACCAATGATTACAGAAAAACTATGACATCTGTGTGTTCTTATGACTTATCAGGTAGCTCATGTGAAGCCTATCTCAGCTTATCGCCATAAAGAAGCACAAGTGTTGGGCAAAAACTAAAGATAGAGATCTCAAGATTTGACATGCAGTAGTTTATCCTGAGGGGAAGGACAGTCCCCATCACAAACGTGGATTTTTGAGGGAAATGTGTGATTACAAACCTCTTTGGAGGCTAAAAGAGTAAGAGGGAAGTTTAAAGTAGACACAGGAAGTTAGAAGCCCCTCCTCAGTTCCTCTTTTGCAGTGAATGTCTAATGTCAACAGAACTTTTATTCAGTTGTAGGGCATTCTCTCAGTTTCAGAATCACCTTTGCCTCCCAGCCATCAACGAGCAGAGTCCAAAGGGCAGACGTCAGCAGCTGAAGTGAAGGTAAAAGTGTTGTACTGTTAAATGTGCTGATCTGTGTTACCTGTGAGTAAATGACCATCCTGTTTGTTTTCTCTCTGACAATTAATCACTCCAGTCAGAGGTGAGCCCCTCGAGTCAACCTTCAAATCTCAGTAAGTGATAACAGAAGTGAACTGGCAGAATTTCCTTTCACGATGATTCAGGCTGCTGTTGCGTTTTGACATACCGCATATGCGTGTGTGAGGCAGTGTGACACACAATCCTGATCTGTCTCTGTATTCCAGTGTGGTCGGCAGCAGGAAACAAGCCACTCGTACTCACTTTGCAAGACGTCATAGAAGGAACCCGGGGTTTTCATCCTGAAACGAGAATCGCGGGAGGCAGATTTGCTAACGTCTACAGAGCACGGATTGGAAATAATACATTAGCAGTGAAGCTTTTCAAGCAGGTGACTATTGATTCTACTACTCAAAAAAAAAACCCACTAATACTCACTCAAATCTGGCTTTTGTCTGGGAATGAATACAGTCAGCAACCACTCCTGCGTCAAATGACTCTTGTAAACAGTTTTTATCGGCTCTGGCTCCGATAGCTGTGATGGAATCATGACACCCTGGGTGAACGCTCTAACTTGGCAAGATAGTGAGGTGAGAGAGCATCTCAGTTTTCATTGCATTCAAGAAATTGTACATGAAAAAATACAAAGGCAATCTCCTCTACTGTCAATGGGAAAGTATTCAATCGCCTTTTTTAAAATAATTTTACCCCCAAAAAACCTACATATACCTGTTAACTTTGATGTTGAAGAGGTATAAGAGGAAGAGAGGGGCATTTTGGGAGATACAAGTATTTGATGTTAAACCTTCTCAAGAAGACTCTCACTTCCAGTCACATCAAGCATTCAAATGAAAATCCTTGTCTTGTTTACATGGGTTAAAAAAAAACACAAACACAAAAATAGAAAGAAGAAGAAGAGAAGACGGCAGCTTGATTTCCATGAACCTTTGGGGAAGGATGGAACATGGTCCAAGGAAGAATCCATCACATCTTGGTGTGGGTACGGGATAAAGGGGCAGATCCAGGAGCTTTTTTAAAAACCTTTTTTTACACTGCAATATAAGACATTTTCACCCATGTTCATTGATTTCTCGGAGAATAATTCATGGATTTTGATGTGAAAACTCAAACATGTTTAGGGGGCTGATATTTACTAGTTTGTGTACTTTGGTGCAGATCAAAATAAGAATCGAAATGTGGTTTGATAAAGGGGACTGCTGGGCATTGGTGGAGGTATGGTTTCTATAGTTACGTTTGTTTTTGCTTTTCCACCAGTGTCTTCTATAATGGACGTATATACCTGAGGACATAAGTTGATGTCTTCCTCCTGTGTTTACTAGTTACAAGCTGGTTGAAACAGTCTTATGTGATTATTATTCCCTCCCACTTCGCTGTTTCATGCTTTTGCATCTAGGTTCTCTGTGGTCACAATGTGTCCCCCAACCACCTCTAAGGTGGTTTGACCTATCAGCTCACAATCTGTCCTCAATGCGTCTTAGCTGCACTTGCGTGGTTAAGCTCTCTCTGAGTATCATCTGATCACCCAAACACATTTTGGTGAAAATGGGGAATCTGTGTGTCCAGTGCATGAAGAAGACACATGCTGCATGGAATAGTGGCAGTTGGGCGATCCCCTCCAATTTGTTTTGTGCTATTTGGGCCATAGTAACCAAAAAAGGCCTACATTTGTTATACTGCACTGGTTGGCACAGGCGTACAACAGTGTTTCTATTTCACATCTTCAATCTTAATCTCAATCTTTCCTCAATCTTCTCATGAAGGAACTTCTTCATTACAGCCACAATTTACTGAGAGAATATTTCCCGATGTGGCAAGAGTTTAATCAATTTTCTTTTCTTCCTGTGCTGACGTCTAAGCTCCTTGCTAATACAGTAAACAGAAGCGTGTTTATTTTGTAGACTTTATATTTGTACTCTACTGTACCATGGGCCTCTGAGTATTTTTTGGTTGTTAAGTCTCACTGATTCTTAATTTGCCATTGTCCAGATAAACGGTGTGTCCTGGAGGAAGCTGTGGGACGCCTTCAAAAAAGAAATGGAGGTTCATCACATGTATGTTCCAACTCACTCTCAAAGTACCTGTCTTTGTTTTGTCTGGTAGTGTGTGTCCGATATGTTCTGCGCTGATGTGTTCCAGGTATCAACATCCGAACATAGTGGAGCTGCTGGACTGTTTCTCCGATGAGGACCACTACTGTCTGGTCTACCCATACCTCCACAACGGATCACTTTATCACAGACTGCACCGACAGGTACGTGTGTGACCCACCTGCTGCAGTCGTTCATCCTGTTTCTGTTTCTGACACCGAGCCAGAGCGCAATGGTTGCAAGGTAACACTCTTCTTAGAAATCAGGAAGTGTAACAGGAAATTCTGCGGCTTGTGTTGCAGAACTCAACAGAATCTTTTATGAGGAAAACGGCAAGGCAAGATAAAATGATTTATTTGTGTGACACATTTCAAAAACGAGACAATACAAAAAGATAAAATTAGACATAAAAGAGTGACATTAACAGTGCAGTGATTTAATAAAGGGTCGTGGGAACGTTTTCAGCGTTGATTTAACATTTGCAGAGGACCTGCAGTTCTCTGGGAGCTTGTTGCACAAATGTGTAAAAACCAAACTGAGCGCTGCTTCTCCATGTTTAGTTTTGACTCTGGGGACAGAAAGAAGACCTGCTCCAGACGACCTGAAGGGTCTGGATGATTCATAAACCTTTATAAACAAACAGCAGGATTTTGAAGTCAATTCTTCGACAGAACGGGAGCCAGTATAATCAGAACTGTGATGTGATGCACTTTCTGGGTGTTAGTGAGGACTCGATCAGCAGCTTTTTGAATCAGCTGCAGCTTTCTGATTAGGTTTTCAGGGAGACCTGTAAACATTCCATTACAATAGTCAAGTCGGGTGAAGATAAATGCATGGACACGTTTTTCTAAAATGAGACATGACACCTCCAAACCTTGATAAGTCCTCAAGGTGGTGATAAAATAACTTTGTAATTGTGTTGATTTGTCGGTTTCTTGACAACACCAAGACTTTGTGGTTTTTAACTTTACTGATTCAAGATGAGCGCTGACTTGCTCTTCACTTTTTACAAAAAACAATTTCTTCAACTGTATCTTGGTTTAGAAAATTGTGATTTATCCCATCATTGATTTGTTCAATGCACTTAGTCAATGCTTGTATGGGGTTGTAGTCTCCTTGTGGTATGGCTTTGCAAATTTGTGTGTATTCTGCACAATTGTGGTAACATATTTTGTTGTTTTCTATTATCTGAGCGAGAGAAAGCACGTAGACGTTGAACAGAGGAGGCTCTAAAATGGATCCTTGAGGAATTATGGTGTTATCTCTATGAGCTTAACAGTGGATATGAGGAGTTGATTTGAGTGGTTGTTATTTAAATCAGTGGCGTCCATTGTGCTCCTGCCTGATCTCTGTGTTGTAAAATGCTGTGCCATCATGTGTCATGTCCACTCTGGTCTGGGTCCAACTAACTTTGGCTATATTAGCTATTTGAAACCATATATTAGTGTTAAATCTAAAGTGGTATGTGTTGTGGAAAATCTGCGGATCAATGGTCAACTCATCAATGAAGAAAGCGTTCAGGAGCCCTTTGACGTCTCCTGAAATATTTTTTGAAGCTTGGCCAAGGAGAAAATCAGAATTCATCCATACAACATCTGTGCATGATCCTCTCTCATATTCTAAAGTCTGCTTTCCTGCAGTCACACTTTAAACCCCAACAGATGATTTCTTCTATGGGTTTGCTTGTTCCTAAACAATCAAATGTATTTTCTAGTTATGGAATCAGTATTGCCTACTTACGCGGTCTCATATCTGTGATGTCTAGGTAGTGAAGGCTTTGACCTTCGCCAAGTTCTCACACTTCCCAGACACAACAGCCTGTTGCACTATGCCCCAGAGAGGACCGGAGACCGTGTCTATGAAAATCCCATAACAGTATGTTGTCACTGTGCAGGATGGAAAGCCCCCACTGTTTTGGGAGGAGCGTCTCACTATCATCAAGGGAATTGCAAAGGCTTTGCATCACCTCCATTTGGCCCAGCCCTGCCCAGTGATCTGTGGCAACATCTCCAGGTACAAGCTAACAAACACTGCACCCTGCAGAATACAGTGTGCACATTTCCAGGTTTACACTCCTGCCCCAGTCCTGGACGGCTCTAAATACTCACAAGAAGAAAGTAGTGGACAAAAGTTTTTCCCCCAAGGCTTGTTTTGTGTTGTTTTATGTGATTTGTTTCTATATGGTTATGTTGTTACATGCACATTAGGTTTGTTCATAATGTTTGTGTTATATGCATGCATAATGTTTGCATAAAGTTTATATATGCACATTTCATTTAAGTTTTTATTTAAACCTGCATTACAGGAAGTTTTCATTGTCAAACAAAGCTTCTCTTGTTAAAGCTTTCCTTCTTCAATGTTAAAGTTCTACTTTTGATATGATGTTGGTGCTATATTATTATTTTTATTGATGATAAATATACTATTTAAATATACCCAATACACATAAAATATAAACTTCAATCGTTTTTGGAAATTAATTTATCCATTTTTAATTAATCAAAATTAACCTGTTAATCCTAACACCCATCTGTGAGGTTCAGAGTTTGATTCCACATCTGTTTGGCGTCTCCTCACAGTGAGAACATACTCTTAGATGACGCCCTGCAGCCCAAGCTGTCTGACTTCGGGTTGGCCCGTCTACGTCCTTATAAAGCCAGTCAGCAGTGCACCATCACTCTCGAGACGGATTACCACAGCAACCTGGGATACCTCCCTGAGGAGTACATCCGCGACGGCAAGCTCTCCTTCAGCCTGGACGTTTACAGCTTCGGAATGGTGACTGTAACAGGATCACATGAGCCTCCATCGTTCTGTGTCTCAGGAGAAAATTAGAACAATGACAGAACACAAACAAATATTTTCTCTCTTTTCGCTCTGTTTTGGGTCTCCAACAACTCCACAGGGAAATATCATCCTCTTTACTTAATGTTTCTGTAATCATACTCACTGTGGGATTTATCAAAACGTTCTTATTGTGTTTATTTTTCAGTACAGTCAAACGTTGTTTTACATCCGTCTCATCTTTAGCGAATAAAATCTTATTTTGCAGAAATAATTAAGTACATCAACTATAGCTATAATGTATTGGAGTAGATGAAGCACAATAAGTAGACAGAAATAATTAAGTACATCTACTCAAGTAGTAGATGTAGTAGTAGTAGACTTTACTTCCCACATCTAAAAATAGAATTATGAAGAATGTTCTGTAGAAGCATGATTCCTTCATTCCATTAATGCCTGTTTGCTCGCAGGTCATTATGGAAACAGTGACAGGAAGGAAGGTCATAGACGATCCTCCCAAACGAACACTGCTGGTGAGTCCACACTGAACTGCTGGAAAGTTTCTATGAAGCCCTTATGCATATGCTACATGTCTTACAACAGTCCTGAGGGTTTACACACAGATTCACCAGAAACAGACCTTTATAATCTATTGCCAGCCCTGTGATAAATCCTGCCTCAAAGAACTGCCTCATTGTTTTCAGTTTTGTCAGATGTGGGCTGATTCAGGCCGGTGGAAGGTGTATCTGCACACATTATTGAGACTGGAACAGCGCTCAGTGGAGCAAATCCCTCTGCCGAGGCCCAACAGCCCCTTAAATGAATTCACCAAAGTTCTCACACAGATATCAGTTCCCTAAACGTGCCTCTTTTTTTAGCAAGATCCTGTTCAGTAGTATTTGCCTAATCTTGCTTACACAAATAAACGCACCACAAACGGACAGGGGAGAAACCATATCCACGTCACAGATATTCTGATTAATGGTCTACATTTATATTCTCAAACTACAAACATGTTAACGACTGATCCAGCAGCATTAAAATGCATTCTGGGATTCATACATTATCATGGTTCATATTTGGAGCTTTATAGAATGCATATAAGTGTAAGCACCTTGTGAGGGACTTTTTAACCACATCTCTCATTCCCTTGCTGTCTCTCTGCGTGTCCCTCTTTTCTTTCAGAGAGACTTGATAGTCACAGAGGTGGAGGACAGTGGTGGTGGTGTGGACTCTTGTCTGCAGTTTTTGGACAAGACGGCCGGTTGTTGGCCGACAGCAATGGTCGTCAGCCTCCTGGGTCTGGCCTTGGACTGCACTGCAAACCGCCCCCGCCACAGACCAAGCATGGAGAACGTGAGCACTGTTGTAGTTCATTCTTTTGACCAGTATCTGTAACTGAAGGGTGTTAACCCAAAGTTTATATAGCACCAATCACACATTATCTCAAAGCACGTTAAAATAGTAACAAGGAGACCTTGAATAATCTGCTATGTCATTTGTATTCATGAAAGAAAAAAATAGGTTCTTTTTACCCAGTCTTAGTTTACAGATGTGTCCAATGACAATGTGTGTGTGTCTGTGTTGGCACGAGAGAGCATGCAAGAGAGCGAGCGGTAGAGAGAGAGGAGTCAGGAGGGTCTCAATGAATCTGGTGCAGCTGCTGTGAAGAGAGATTTTACCAATTTAAGAGTCAATCAGTTTTCAAAAAACTATTCAAAAAACGTTATTTGTTCCCGGAGGATAATTCTAAGGCACATAGAGCATGTCAAGAGAACAACTAAAAACTCGAAGAAAAATAACAATGGCCTCAATATCCACAGACAGTTAAAAATCAGTACAGTATACGAAAAATCCATATACTATATATAGTATATGACTGTAAAAGGGAGTTAGCCAGTGCTGATATTGTGCGGTGACCACAAACAAATCAAATAGGAACACTCATTCTGAAACTGTAGCGAGTTAGAGGAAGTCAGTTGAGGAGTCGGTCTTTCATATGCACCTAAGGCATTCGAATTTGCAGCAAAAGTGTGTGTCGCCGCCCAGAAAAACTCCAAATGTGCTCTGAGTAATTGGACTTTTTGAGGACGCATAATGGTGCGTTCAGACGTGAACTTATACCAGGTCTGAACGGGATCATAGAAAAACCCAGCAGTCATAATAAGCTTTGTCTGACCGGTTGTTATAATAAAAATAATGATAGTCATAAATTCTATAATTCTCAATTGTCTTCAGATACTTCTGGCACTGAGCCAGCTGCTCCCTCCGCCCAGATGCCCGCTGGCCGACCAACCCCGCAGCCTGCATGACGGAGCCGCTGTTGATGCCCCACAGAGCGCCTCATCCTCCATACCCGTGGAGCACGATGAGCAGCACAGCCCCCTTGCCTCTCCGGTGCTCACAGGGCCCTGTGAGTACAGCCAGTCAGAGGTGACATATCTGAGTGACATTATGGGTGCCCATGGCGAGGCAGCCCCCGACCTGTACAACAGCATGCCCGTGGAGTGCAGCTGCTCGGCCGAGGCAGCTGGTCAGGTCTGTGAGGACTGCAGGGCCAACAGGATCACCCACGACCTCGCAGAGGGACCTCGGTGTAAGTCTGTTTTTAAGATACCCAGCTCCTCAAGCACAATGGGAAAAACTCGAGAATGCATATGATCACAGTCGTTCTTCTAAAATGTAAAGAAATCCCAAAATATGTCTTGATCCCCAGACATTTCAGAGAATGTGAATTGCAGCCGTAGAACTTGGCCTTATTCTTATGATTAAACTGTCTTTAAATCAGACTGGCTGATCTTGCTAAGGGGGACACCCTCACATAAATGCATACATCTGTTTATTACATGCGGGATATGCTTTGTGCTTTGTGTTTGCCTATTCAAATAAATCAATTTGTGTGTTTGCTTGTGTGTTTTGGGCAGATCCCAGTGTGGTGGAAAACGAAGCCAAGGGCAGGCTGATGAATAAACTGAGTCTGTACAACCAAGGGCTGATTCACACAGAGGAACTGTTCTCTGAGGCTGGGCTGCAGTAGAGGGCAGAATTCCTGTTACGGTCCCGACAACGTTTCTGTGCACTGATCGGAGTGTGTGTGTGTGTGTGTTTCTGTCTGTTAGCTCCTGTAGCCTCCCTGTAAGCTTTTGTATATAGCTCATACATGGTAATACCATGTTTCTCAGGTAATCTGCTCATAAGTGCACAGCTCTAAGTTTATTAGTTCACACCTGGCATTAGAGTGTGTCTCTACATGGGTCTCCTGTGACTGGACCTCTCCACTGTATATGCAAATACATAAGTACATTATTATTGAAGTGTATTTATATGAATATAAAAGGCATTCTTGCCTATATTTGATCATGACAGTATAAAGGTGACATGAAATTGGCTGAGAGAGTAAAGGAAATGACATGTTTCCGATTGCAAAGACCAAATAATGTTATTGTTTTTGGCCGGGTGAGGGCAGCAATCCACCACCTGTGCCTCCTTCTGCAGGAGAAATTGAAACAGTGCAGAAACAGTACTCAGTGGAGTGTAGTGGAGTGTGTACCTCAAAACAATCCTTCTGTCTTGTTCTTATGATAATTAAGTTTAGGATCCATACAGCTGCCAGCCACCAGGGGGCGATCCAAATAATCTGGCCTCACTTTTAGGGAGCTGTCATGTCATCCATTTGTATATACAATTTACATACTGTCAAAAGAAACCAGAGAACATCACAGTGATAGAAGTATTATAATCATCGTTATTATTATTACTGTTACAACTGGCATTTTTAGAATGATTGCCACTACTGTTATCAGCATTATTATTTTTCCGTTATGATCTTCAACAGGTTACTACCACTATAACTTATTTTCTGAATCAAGAGAGGCTCTGTAAAGATTTTTTTTTCAATGAGAACGTCTCTGTTTGTACCTTTTCCTTAACTGACCCTGATGCATTAAACCAAATTTGTCTGTTTTATAAAGACGACTGATGTGATGAATCCAAGTTTAAGAACACAGTGTGATATGATTGTTTTATTTTAAAACCAAGGCCATATAGGCTATGAGCTTAAAGGACTTTTGGCCGCATATTGTGGTTCATTGACATGCACACACTATTTAACAAATGTAAACATGTTACAAGTAAGAATTTATATGGAACAAAAAAACACATTCATATTCTATATCCAGAGCCTTTTCTATCACACACCATTCATAGATTGACAGCAGAGACGTTAGGGGCAATTCTGGGCTCATTATCTCGACCAAGAACACTCAGCTGCCCCTTAGGTTCTTAGGTTCAGGGCTAATATTGTATACTTTAAAAACCATATCGGAGACAAACATTTCCTCTGGGCCAGATCCACAGAAGGGGCTTGGGCCAGTGTCCTTTGGCACAATGGGCCAATACCTGTGCAAACCCGGTATCTTTAATCTGGCTGTACTGGATATAATCAAACTAGCAAAGTAATAGCTGTCTAGAAGAAGTGGTGTGGATAGACCCTAACCCTCATTTCAAAGGCTCCAACAAATGCAGCAGACAAATGTGTCCCTCCATCGGACGAAGGCTCCCAGGATTCATTGCACTTCAGTGACAAACCATTTTTTTGGTACCAGCAAGCGACAAGACACCTGATGCATGTATAATGCTTTAACTCAACTGAACAGCTAACAGTACACATTCAAAAAACATGAGGGTTAGGGGGGTTTCTTATGAGGGGCCTTCAGGGACATGATATAAAGGTGGGACGAGCTGGTAACACCAACCACTGAAACCTGAAATCACTGAAAACTGAAATCTGTCTCATTTCAGTTTTGGTTTTATTTGCAGTCTATCTGGCCCATGAAGGAGACGGCCTTTGTGGGCCGGGTAGACCGCACCCTCCGAAGGATGCAGCCCCTGAATTGAGACACAGCTTTCGTCAGAGGGGAATGGCCGCCATTTGAATGTGGTCTATGGAATAGATTGGGTGTTTATAGTTAGACGCCTGAGAAACAAGATGGCCACTGGAAAGTTGAGTGGCAGTTTATTTTCACAATCATGTACAAACTAAGAGGGCAAATTCCTCAATTTGAATTTGTTTTGTTATAACCAGATCAATTCTGTGTCTGATACTTAAGAATATACAAGTTGGAGCCCGTTTTACTGTGTGGGTGGAAAAGAGACATAATCGTGAATCATAGTTCCACAGAGTGAGCGTGCAGTGGTGCCTTCTCCTGGATGAGGCTGACAAACTCGTGTTTCTCCAGGCAGCCTCGACATTCCTCCCCCCATGAGGCTAAAATGTTCCTCAGCTCCAAAACTCTCAGCTTCTTCAGCCCATCACTGCTCAGATCCTTCAGCTGAGACTCTGCGCACAAAACACAAAATACACCAGAATGGGACTCAGGAGAGCGTAATAGCGTATCCCTCTGTCAAAGCCCAACAGTATGAAACCACATTTAAATTCACTATATCCACAAATAGTACACACTCATAAATATCAGTCTCCTACACATGCATGAATATTTTCATCAAGATCCGTATTCTCTGAGAAATAAAGAAAAATGTTGTAAAACGTTCTAGATCTGCCCCCTGATCCGAATCCACACTAACATTTACTGGATTCTTCCTTGACCCATACCACATCCTTTCATCCAGTATGATGGTAATCAGTCCAGTAGTTTTTGCGTAATGTTGCTTATAATCAAACAAACAGGCCTCATCTCACATCCACATCTGCACCCAAGCACCCAAATGGACAGTTAGCCTCTGTCGGGCATCTGAAACACACATTTTACCGTATCTGAGCTGACAGATCTGTGTGTCTCTGCTGCTCATGCGTTGACAGATCTTCTCGACGGGGACGTGAGAGGCCAGAGGTCGGGACACTGATGATGTGACACGTGTTGCTGCATCACTACTCGCTCCGAGGTAGTAACACTAAGGACGGCACGAGAAACACACGTCTGATCGTCTCAGTATTTTGGGAATTAAGTTCATATTTGTCAAATCTGCAGTTCAGAACATAGACAATCGTTCATGAAGGATATGAAAAGTAAGTGTGGGGAGATTAAAACAAATGAGAAGACCCTATCTCTACTGCACTGCACTTTTTAGAACACAGCGATTTCTGTATTAGTAGAAACTTCAGCCTCCGTCCAGTCCACATGTCCTAGTTTCCTTGGGAAGACACTGAACCATAAGTTGCCCCTGATGGCTGTGAGTGTAAGTAATAAAGAAGAGTTACATATAAATGAATGGGTGGATGTGATTGGAAACATAAAACTGAAAATATTCTCTATAAATACCATCTGACTACATTTGCAGCCCCAGTTAATGTTGAGAGTTTATTAAAAAAGAAAATATTGAAAACTATGAACCATGTGAGGATTAAAGATTTGAAATGATTCTTCATATGAATAAGATGTATCTTAGTTGCCTGCCATACCATCTATTAAGTCTATGTTGTCATGGTTACACTACATCCTCACCAGCCTCGCCTCCTTCCCCTGGGCGACGGAGCAGGCCCGGAGCAGCTCCTCCTCCACCAGGGCTGGGATGAGTTCCGTGTGGGCTGAGTTCAAGCTTACATACAGTCTGTGGAGGAAGCTCACACACACTGAACACCAGTGCACTGTTAGTGAACGGGACTTACTCATTCATCACATTTGTCAGGGTGTCAGATACGTGTATCAGTGTTACAGTGTACGGCAAAGTGAGTTTGTGTTTCTTCTGTGTGTATATTGCATGTACATGTGACTAAAAGACAAAAGTCACTGTGGGCCCACCCTCACTCAAGTATAAATCATATAAAGAATAATAAAACACCACTGTTATATGTTTCCAGTAACAAGTTATATTAAAAGCTTCATTTAGCACACTGTGGCCCACAAGAACAATAAACGAACTCCTCTTTTAATGTATTTTGGTTTATTTTCAGAACTGGAAAACCTCCTGTAAGCTGTCTGTGATTTTAGATTAATTTCCACAGTCTGACAATAGATGTTTAGCTCGATTCCTTCTTAAATCGCAGTAAAAATCACTTGTTGAATCCCAGTTTGGGCAGCACATGCAGGGCTTGGTGCAGAGAGCTGACACGCAGGGCTGATTCTGACTCTCCACAGAGGAACCATGTGACTCCAGTGCTTGTTATTGATCATTATTATTGGTAATCGCCTGTACAGAAGTTGCGCTCACACCATGCTGCTGTCTAACCTTCACAGTCGGCTGCGGCAGAGACAGTAGACCCTCTGAAAAGCAGGAGAACGGCCAGAGGCAGCACCGACATGGTGGCGTTAGTTATTATTAGCCCCGGGTGTCTCAGTGTGGGGGGGGACCCCGGGACCTGCGTCACCGCATACGTCACCACGTGGCTTTCATACATGCTTTTACGTTCGGAATGAAACTTTCTCCCGTTTCTCATGTGGTCATGTGATCATGGTCGTTTGTAGAAATGTGGTGACGACAGACGCAGCGTGAAATGCGCGTCTATTCCAGGTGTTACGATAAAGATAGCTTTGATAGTTTGATAAAATAAGTAAAGATGATTTAGTTAGATAGATACTTTGTTGATCCCGAAGGAAATTCAAGCATCCAGTGGCAGTAACATACATTGAACATTAATTAGACTTATGCATTAGAGTTAACTTATAACACAGTAACCATACGTAGAAATTGTCCTGAGATGAATGTAAGTTTAAATGTGTACAGAGAAATTAAGGAAATTGAATTAAATTATATTGAACAATTCAACTTTTACAGAGAAATTACACATTTGCATAGTATTGCAATATATACACAGGAATTAAAAATGTGCAGGAATGTTAAATATTTGTAGAAAATGTGCATAGAAAATAAATATAGAACTGTGTTAAGTTAACCCGTGCTAAACGTCCATTCAAAAACTATATAAAAACTAGAAGGTAACTATAGAAATACAAATGTTTTATACAACTATAAATTATATTAAAAATAGAAAGTGACCGTAGACGATTAAGAGAAATGGGGATAAAGGACTGTGTGCAATTAAATTCAAGAAAGATCAAGAAAGAAAAAAGAAAGAAAGAAAGAAAGATAGAAAGAAAGAAGGGGCTCTTGAATACATAGACGTGGGAGACTTTTGTTGTGAAAGAGCTGCACAGGAAGTCGTCACCGGGAGCGGAAGCGGGTGGCGCATGCGTGGTTGATCCCTCGGAGCAGAGACTTTCCAGCATGGCCGCTATCGGGGTTCACTTCGGGTACACATGCGCCTGTGTGGCGATATTTAAGGTGAGTGTCGGACAGGCTCCCTCCGCTGAGCCTCTCTCACACCAAGCGTCCCAGTGAGGTGGAGAAAACGGCGACATGTTTGTTGTAATACCCAGAAAGCCCTCTGACACATGTGGCTGCTAACTCCCAGTGTGTGAACACTATCATGGTGTCACGAGAGTTGAGCTAGCTTTAACAATACACGGTCTCTACTTTCTGTCGATGTGCTCCTCCGCACTGCAGCCTAGGCTGTTTTAATGGCAACAGGCCGAACCTACAGCAAAGCTTCTCTCCATTAATATTCACTGTCATGTTGTGTATGTTCTATGTAAAGGAGCATGAAGGGCCAGACTAAGTTCTGGAAGTGAAACAGGCTTTAAACTGCTGATACCGGGTCATTACAAGCGATTGGACACGTCCCTGCAGCTTGTATCTGCTTCATATCACAATTTGGCTGATGTACAGGTATCAAGCATTAATTATTTACTCTTAGCACTTTTATTGTCACTCATCCTGGTCACAGTGGCACAAGGATAAGCCATGTGACCCACACTTCCTGCTCCTGAGCTCCAGCTGGATGTACCTGAAACAGCTGCAGCAGGATACTGCTCAGATCCTGAAGCACCTCCGTGGACTCTTCTCAAGGCAAAGGAGTCTTGGAACCCTCGCTTTATGTCTTAACAAGCCAAACCACTCAGGGGATTATTTTTTTTATAGCCAAAGCGTGTGACCACAGATGAAGATGGACATGTAGGTCGACTGGTTCAGTCCTGTTAAACGTCAACATTGCTGCTGACACGACAACTGCTGAGCTCCTGCTGCCTCTTCTCCTGCTCGTGATCCTCTGCAGGGATACATGTTTGAATTGATTAACTGTACATCTACTGATTAATTAAATTATTAATTGCTTTTACTGTGTGTGTGTGTGTGTGTGTGTGTGTTCAGGATGGGCGGGCTGACGTGGTGGCCAACGATGCAGGGGACAGAGTCACTCCAGCGGTGGTGGGCTACAGAGACACAGAGCAGGTACAGCATCAGCTTCACTTGCCTTTACATCAGTTTTCCTGCAGGACGCGTTATAGCTGAGGGGGTTAACAGCAGATAACAGATAGCTCTCTTGACATCTCTCTGTGTCTTCTACGTGTATGGCACCACTTTTTCATCCTGACATATATCCTCCCACTCGCTAGCAGTGACTCCTACGGATTCTCCGGACTTCAGTGTACGTTTGAATACAGCTCATGTCAGCTCTGGTGCATATCATAACTCTGCATCACAGACATAGGACATGAAGTATTGGTTGTGACAGGTTCATGACTGCATGGCATCATGTTGCTACGTCTATATAACATCATATCGTCAGCACTGTGGCTTTCTGTCCTGTGTGCGTGGCGTTATTTGGCCCCGGACAAAATAAATAAATTGCTTTCTGTTTAGAAACTTAACGGCAATCGCAAAATTACTGTTGTTGTATCTCAAGCCTGTATTACTGTTGTTGTGCATCACACATTTTAATACCCCTTCCTTATTTCACCCAGTAACATCATAGTTGGATTTGAAGTTGGACTGTGTGAATCCTCTGCAGCTCAGAGCGGCTAAACGTTTAAAATGTTCTAACTGTGTGATGTTTAATCTCCTTCAGATTGTTGGCATCGCAGCAAAGCAAGGACGAGTCCGCAACGCCGCCAACACAGTTGTTAAAGTGAAGCAAGTGCTGGGGAGAAGGTGACATGACAGATTCACACGTAACATTTGTCTTGCTCGCTAGTATCGAAGTTCTGGAGACACAGTATGAAATGAGCTTGACTCACTTGTTTTATATGGAAGTTGAATTGAATTCTGGGACTTTTCAAACACTGCCCTATGTTTATGAATGTAGGTGTGTAAATGAATGGTACATGTAGATTGCCTCAACCAGCAGTCTCTTATATATAAAGGACCTGTAGTCAACAAAATCAGTTAGGTGTCCAGATCATGCCTGCAGGTTGACAAACTGTTTATCAGTGTATGACTTACAGATTCTCTCTTTCTCTGTCTCTCAATGGACAGCTTTGATGATCCAGAGACACAAACTCACAAAACAGAGACCAAGTGTCAGGTGAGTTTGAGACCAGATTCACTCTGTCGGGTTCTATTAAGCTTTTTTTTAAATCCCAAAATGTAGAAAATAGGATGGAATATTAGGGCCATGTTGAAGAAAACAATTTTTGAGAATAAAGTTGATGAGAGTTACGAAAAAAAAAAGTTTTTATAGGAAATAAGCACTGAGGAGAACAAATGCTTGGTTAACTTTTTTATATTACGACATTATTCTCAAAATCAACATGACCCTAATACTCATGTGCTAAAATCACTGCTGTACAACAAAAAATATTTTCTTCATTTACATTCCTTTATTTGCCATGTTCTGTTTATCAGTTGTCCCCAGTCAAAAGAAACGTTAGCTTGTCAGTGTCTCAGAGTGTAAAGCCGTGATCACTGTGTTCAGGTGGTGAACAGAAAGGATAAGCCTTATTATGAGATCACAGCAGGAGAACATCCGGAGTATGTCGCTCCAGAGGACGTCGCAAAACTCATCTTCCACAAAATGAAAGGTAAAACACACACACACACACACACCACTAATACATTTTAGTTTTAAAACACATCACTGTAGCATCCACATTGGGTCTTATCAATCACTACGGGGCTACCATTGATGAAGGCAAAGTGTTGTAATGCCACTTTTACACCACGACTGACAGTAAAAGGCCGTAAACTTGACTGTTTCCGTTTTCACAGAAACGGCTCAGTCAGCTCTGGGCTCCGATGTAACTGAAGCGGTCATTACCGTCCCTTTTGAGTTTGCACATGCTCAGAAGCGTGCTCTGAGGTAGGTGGCTTCACTGACTCCTCCACTCCTCTGTGCACTGATTTCACTGATGACACACTGCTAATAAATAAAGCACTGACAGTGTTTGGTTTGTCCAGGGAGGCAGCAGAAGCTGCAGGGTTCCATGTCCTGAGGCTGATCCACGAACCTGCTGCTGCTCTGCTGGCCTACGACATCGGACAAGACAGCCACTCTGGAAAGAGGTAACACTGAAGACGAGGAAGAGTGGTCGGTTATTCTTTAGAGCGTAGGACAAGATGGTGATATTCCATTGAACGTTTGAAGGCGCTAGTTTGAGGATGGTCTGGTGTAGGGCTTATCTCTTGATTCCTCACTCTTTGAGCAACCTGATGGTGGATGTTGCAATAAAGCCTTAGCAGCCAATCTTCACTGTTGCTTTCCAATCACGTAGTTCTGCCTGAGAGTTCATCCCCACATACCGCGGCCTTTCCCTCTTATTCGCTTCATCAACAGCCTCCTCAGGATACTGTCAACTCTACGACAAGCAGGGTGTTGTACCAGAGAACCTTACATCTTACTAGTTTTCATGTTTAGGGATTTTTATATTTTATATTTTTATATGATTGGTCACTGCTCATACACAGTCAACGATTACTCAGTTCTTAACATTTGTGGACCTGCTTACTCATGCAAAAACTAAATTAACCAATCAATCCAAGTTTTGTGTTGAACCAGGGTGAAAACAAATCCTCCTTAATTCCACTACACAATACATTTTTCATACAATTCGTGAACAGATGTTTTTCCATAAGTACCTCCAGTCATGTCTGTAGTTGTTTGACTCCAGCCGTCTTCCCTGATTTTGCTCTGCACTGTGTCGACAGCCACGTCCTGGTGTTTAAGCTGGGCGGGACGTCGTTGAGCGTGACGGTGCTGCAGGTCAACGGGGGAATGTTCCAGGTTCTCAACACCCACACAGACCACAGCATCGGAGGAGAGAGCTTCACCCAGGCTTTGGCCAAGCACTTGGCCGCCGAGTTCAAACGGTAGATATTGTGTTGCACACAAAAGTTATTGTGGCCAAAAGCTTCACAGTGAACAGATCACTTTGTTAATCATAGTATTACACTCTTTTTTACCTCCAGTTGAAACACAAACACCAGGCATTGTTTTGGTTACATACATTTATTTCCTTCAAACATGCTGTCAGAACTAAAGGACATCATGAAATTAGACTATTAAATACAGAGCATTATCACGAGCTGCTTTCAGACACGCACTGAACTCGATCTTCCGGACATTCTCCGGAGGGGCTGGATGTGAGAACTCAAATGTCCGAGTGAGAGCCTCCAGAATTAAAAACTCCAGATGTACCCTGACTCACGGCCCCTTCTCTTCCCTCACACACACCAGCACCTAAACCACATCTTAAATACCCTCCTGCTACCCTTACGCTCTCTGTGTGTGTTGCGCAGCACCTTTAAGCACGATGTGAGCAGCAACGCCCGGGCCATGATGAAGCTGATGAATGGAGCCGACATGGCCAAACACTCTCTGTCCTCGCTGGAATCAGCCAACTGCTTCGTCGACTCCCTGCACGACGGCATTGACTTTGATTGCAATGTATCGAGGTAAGATAAACTGATGTGGTAAAAGATGGGAAACGTATATATACGGATGAGGCTGTAGAATGGAGTTGAAGCAGACTCGTGCTTCTAAGGCAGGGGTGAGGGGGGGGGGGGATCACAAGAAGTCATTAAGTTAAACAAAAAATTGGTGTTAACTCAATACACAGTCTCTCTACATGTTAACCTGGGCTTTAAAGATTTCCAGATATTGAAGTTATTGTACAACATGTATATCTAGTTTATCTGAATGTTTGGGTTTGATGGAATTGGACAAAGTCAGTGTGAATGACTCGATGACGCCAGTATCATGTTTCCTCAGAGCTCGATTCGAGCTGCTCTGCTCGTCGCTCTTCAACAAGAGCATCCAGCCAATCAGAAGTCTGCTGGAGGAGGCGGGACTCTCCACCAACAACATCAACAAGGTAAAGTGATCCAGCTGCAGTTCTGGTTGTTGAAAAGACTCAATGTCGATGGTAAACTGTTGTGAATATGTGTTCAGGTGGATTAAAACTGGAATTTGATTCTGATTTCTGAGAAGAATGATTGTTTTAAAGTTGGACAGAATTTCAGCTTTGTCCTTTGTCATGGAGTATACAGGGGGGGGTCATATGCTCTTGTTCGGCCATCTAACTGGTGAGAAAGTTTGGTCTGCTGTCACCAGGGCATAATCACCGGTTAATTCCCAAAACTCTTTTTTTACTCATTCTCCCCATTTGGCATGCCTCATGGTAAAAAAAGGTAGTCGCTGATGGACTCTGGGAACTGTCTAAACACGGTAAAAGTAGAACCAAGATATGAGGACATGAAGTCTCACATGAACAGAAAACATGGAGGCCAGGCTGTTTTGACGAAAGCATACCTGGCTGTGTGATGTTTCTTCCTCCTCCTCATAACAACCCACATACCAGAGAGGAATATCATGGTTTGATGTTTCAACACGCAGAATGGCATGTGTGGTCAAGGTAGTGTTTGTGTTCTTAGCAACATGAGAGCAAACAAACTTCTACTTCCGCACGATCGATTTCCTTTTTCACCGTGATTTTGAATTTAATGTTTCTAATATCGAACACAACATGCAGCATCCTGATGTGATGGGTGTTTCTTCAGGTGGTTCTTTGCGGAGGCTCGGCCAGGATCCCCCGCCTCCAGCAGATGATCCGCGACATGTTTCCTGACGTGGAGCTCCTCAGCTCGGCACCTCCTGATGAGGTCATTGCGGTGGGAGCAGCGCTGCAAGCGGGGTTACTAGTCGGCAGAGAGAGCCTCGCCCCCGAGGAGGAGTCCGTCACCGTGGATGTTTCTGCCACAGACATACTTGTTAAGGTAAAAACACACATTTGAAGTTTTCAGCAGAGAGAATATAAATCATTTTATCTTTGCGTTTTCTTTAAATGTAGATGCAGTCGATCTTAAGCGACCTAAAGAATTTAATATTTCATGACCAACTGTGTCTGCCCTGGTGATGCATGGCTTTTGTCAAATATTTGACTTAATAAAAGTACAAATAAAGGGTCAAAAATGTACTCGAGTAAATAAGTTCTTTAAATCTACTTTTAAATCTACTCAAAGCATTAAAAAATAATTGTACTTGCCAAGTATAGCCTGCCTACAGCCTATTACATCAGTATGGCTAAATCTCTGCAGTGGCCTCTTGTGAATCCATTTCAGGTGTTTCCTCAGTGAACCAATTCCCCTCTCAGTATTGAACACAAGATTTACTTAAGTACATTAACTAAATGTTCCATCCCACCGCTGGTTTGTGCAGGAGGTGGATGAATCCGGAGCGGAGGTGTTCACTGTTCTTCTTCCATCGGGCACGCCCCTCCCCGCCCGCAGACATCACATCCTGAGTGGAGGGGGGAAACTCTCCTCCCTCTGTCTGGAGATCTACCAGAGATTGGTCACGGAGCAGCCTGAGAAACTAGCTAAGGTACAGAAAAGCACCAACATTGGGTCAAATGTGGAAACTCTACACATCATACTTCCGCTGCTTGTAACCTCTTGTTTCAAAAACATCAAAAATGAGCTAGGGGGCAGATTCCATATATGGAGACAATCTTGCTACAGTTAACTCTAGCCGTTTGCGGACATAACCTCCAGGGGATGTCTTTTTTTCATTTTTCAGTCTGTCACGTCATAAAATGTCCACTGGCTCCCAGTAAATTATGCGGGGGACTTGACTTTTCACCAACCAGCTCCAGATGTCTGTTGACATACAGTCCATGAGGTGTTATTGTGTTATATGGTGTTGTACACACAGACAGACAAGGATGAAAATTATAATCAGCAAATTTATAAAAGGAGTTGATAATTAATAACTGAAATGAACCCTTTATCTGTTGTGTGCATTTGTACAGATTGCCTTGACAGGCCTGCAGCCCACAGAGGAGAACCACGTCATCGATACCGTGGTCACGATGAAAAGGTATCCACCCTTCCATGATCAGTGCACGGGTCAATTAACTTGTCAGCCTCTACATCATTAGTGTGTCAGTATACGCACACTGACTGTATAGTTTGTTTTCTCAAAAATGTAGCTTTCTTTTTTTCCTCCGAATCAGAACAATTTTGTAATGACCACACAACAAAGTTAGTGGAATTCCTTTTTGTTACATCCTGGGGGAAAAGCTCATCTCAACTTGGAAGATAACAAAGACATCAACATAGACAGCAGTTACTTTACTCATTATTAATTAATTACTTAACTCCTCTTTCCTAACTGAGCAATTTCATCAATCTTTGATTCTTTCTGTTTGTTGCAGGGACGGTTCCCTCCACGTTTCCTGTGTAGAGCAGAGCACTGGACGCTCCCAAGTCATCTCCATAGCAGCTTCAGCCTGAGGCCACTGAACTGAAGTCCAGGCACACATTATTACAGTGTCACTGCAACATTTTTCTTTTCTATTTTTCAGTCAATAAACATAATCAAAAGCCCACTGATCCACTGTGATTTATTACCTTCTGGAGTTGTATTTAATCATCAGAATAATGCAGAATGCACTTTTCAGTTAAAGAAGGATATTCCCAAGCTGTATTACTGATTTATAATATAAGTAACTGAATGAAAAATTATAGAAAATGAGCAGCACAAGGGTTCTGCCTTCTATTTCCACCAAGTATCTCCTTTTTGTAGAAATGACAAAAAACACTGCTTCCATGTTTCTGAAATGTTTTATATGATTTTACTGTATTTACACATGATATGAGTTCGACAAGGGTCTATAATAACGTGCATTACACTTATTCCATCCATAGTTTCTCCGCACTCTATGTAATGTCAGACATGCAGCGGTGGGTGGGGGTAGAGTCTTTGGGTTCCAGTCACACTTCATGACAGGAGTGAACGTACAGTGTGTATCACTTAATATCCCATACAACACAACAAAAGCTACAGCTTTCTGTGCACTTTCTAACTAAGGCATTTCTGTCCCAACGCATTGCTGTTTCTGGAAGTTGTAGTAGTATTTCTGGCCTTTAGCATCCGTGCTCTGGAACAATTCGACACTTAAGGATCTTCAAGTAGTTCTGGACCTTGTTGGAGTCTCGGCGGAAGCAGTACAGGAGGTCGTAGTCTTTCATCAGGCGCCATTCAGGGCTGTCAGACGGCAGCAGCACCTCAGGAGAAGCCTGGCTGCTGACGGAGTCGCTCATCATGCCCAACATCTGCATCTGGAGCGGAGAGGATTCACATGCACACGTCAGCTTTCAAGAGGAAGAATCTGTCATTGCTTTTATTTGTGAACCTTCTCTCAGAGCACTTTAAACCACAAGGCACATTCATATCGCTGCTTTTATGCAGAGCGGGTGTTCAGGGGCAGTTTTGGGTTCAGAATCTGAAATAGGATCGAACCTCAGACTCTGGTTTCTGGTCTACCCGCTCTATCTCCTGAGCCACAGGGATCAGAAACACAGATCCTGATATGCTGCTTGGCCGACTCTTATTGATTTTAATGGGCTGGATAAAATAATAATAAGCACATTTTTAAACAAAATCTTTTTTTGAGATGTTTTTAATCTTGACCGTTTATTCATTCATTCATTGCTTCTTACATCTAAGAATTCCACACATATACGTTATATGATACCCAAATCAGTCAAACAAATACATCGGTCGGTTGGATGTTGTGTGTGCGTAGTTGTGCACAGAGGCAGGAGGAAAGATAAAGGGTCAGACAGACAGAGTGGTGTCCTCCTTGCTTTGTACGTAGCCGCTGAATGTCTGAACAATAGGTCATCTGAGGGTGACCAGCGCCTCTGTTGTGTGACGTCTGTGGTTCTTTGTCATTTGCAACGATTACGCGAACTGACAAGACACTCTATCCCTGGAAGCCACGTGACACACACTCACACACACTGACGTCTCGATCTGACGTAAGACATACAGTACCTTCTTGGCCACCTTCTCTACACCTTTGCGCAGCTCGTGCACCATGTCGCTCATCTCCAGGGCTTTGTTGGAGCTGAAGTTGGTGAAGTCATGGTGGTGAGCCATGCTCTGGTGGAAATGCCACAGGGGATCTCTCCACGCCACCAGGAGCTTCAGAATCACCTCTGTCAGCTGCTCTCTCTGCAAGGACAGAGGCACAGGTCACATTCAAACCCCAGCCATCCTTTAGGTCGTGGCGTCGGTGAGGGATGGAAGGTTCGGGATGTGGCAAGAACACATGTAGACATTGGAAACTTGAAAATATAAGTAACACACACCATGAAATGAAAGGGAAATGCAGAGAAATAGAGAAGGCCGCATTCTTATTGTAAACACGGTGATGGAGAGGTTCATTTACCGCCATTCTCTGAGCGTTCTCTTTGCCGTTTGGGGTGAGGATGGTCGAAGTGTGACAGTTGCGACCGACCCGGGCGATCTGATTCTTGCTGGGCAGGAAGTACTGCTCCTGAGAGGACAAAGATGAATGCAAGAATGAAATGTCAGAGGTCAGCCGTCGTCTAAATGCCGACTGAGGCTGGAGTACGGAAGTTATTAATGAGAATAGTAGGAGAGGCTGCAAAGAATCACAAACAGCTGAGGATCTCTCTCACTCCTTCTCTTCTTTGTGAGTATGCACAATCCAAATCACACATTAAGAAGTTACAAAAGCCCAGTTAAAATGATGTGCACAAGGAGACTTACGAATTCAGAGTGAAGGTCGTTTGAAATGCCGTGCATCCTGGCTGAGTGTTGGATGACCCGGTCAAACAGGTTGGCCAAGGAGAGTGCATGGCACCCAGCCTGGGCATTGGTGCAGATGGGTGCTGCGCCTGTACTGGTCAGTGTCCTGCAGAATACCAGACAGAGCAACAGCACCCACACGACAGACACTGGGAGAGAGCAACAAAAAGAGAACAATGTGATATAACACATAATAACTTTGAGAAAAAAGTCAAAAGGTCTCAGGCTGAGTTAGATCTGATTCTTAAGAATCTGCTATAATTGAGATATGTCAGGTCCTCGTGTTTAAAAAAAAGTCAATGCCTGTTTTTTTTAAAAATGGAAAAGTGCTGAGTGAAATGAGAGGTGAGCAGGATGAGAGCAGGATGGCATGAAGAAAGAGTGATGACAAATAATTACCTGATCTGATGTTTCCAGACATCCTGCAGGGCGCAGAGGAGCTTTGGTTTCAGAGCCGAGGGTGCGGAGGCTTCTCTTGTCAAAGACCCCCGCTGCTTCATGTGAGGGTCCCTTGCTCACCATTCAACTCTTACTCCTTAATATCCAAGAACGAGAGGGTGGGAGGGAGGGAGGGAGAAGGGGCGGGGGCAAGGAGAGTTCTATGAATCAGATGTAACCTAGATGTAATATATAGATAGTGAGTTAATTTAATCCTGTACTTTGTTCTCATATGAAAACCAGGACACACTGACTAAATATGTACCAAAACATTTGCAAAGTTAGTCAGCACAATTTGCATTGCATTAGGAGTATAGTCTAATATGCAATAGTCAGTAAAAGTAACGTACTGTACTTTTTAATAACAAGTGGGTTAAGACAAGTATATACATTTCATGTTGCATTTAATGAAGCTCCTCATTTCTAATGATGTGGAGATGACAGTTAAAACACAAGACTTAAGAAAAAAACAGGACACAGTCAATTTCAAGTTCAAGTTCAAAATCAATATCCAAACTGACTAATGTGTGTTGTTTTACTGATATTGAATTAACGAGTCCTTGTTTCAACTATGATCATTCAGCCTGAATTGTCAAATGCAACAGTGGCTCAAACTGCAGCGTCAAGACTGATCCTATACAACAACCTTCGTGAAGGGAGGGCTCACTGCAGGACTGTTGTGTTCCACTGCATTATAGTTTCATGTATCTATAAAAGGACTTTGCATCAACTTCCATTTATTAAAGATATATTCTACATATTTGCATTTGTATATATTTAGCGGGGTGACTGTGCTTTTTCAGTTTGGCCTCAACAATGTCTCGTCTCGTCATTATTACCTATTACTACATTTAATTAGTTTATGTTGTTTCTAATCAATGTTATCTATTCCATTTAATTTGATCAGTTTTAATAAATCTAAATACAACTTGTTTTCTTATCATTTCTCGATCTATGACCTTTTGTATTTTTACACATATATATACATTTATACAGTACTTATTCACTTCATATAGGATTAGCCAATTACTTAATTCAGATTTCACCTGCCTTGATTATGCTTATATACTTGCAGCCTCATTTTAACTGATGTTTTATTTTACTAGCCACACTTTGTTTTATTAATTGGCACCAACCTTATACTGTAAATCCATTTATTGATGTATAGGCTCAGTGTTGTTGATATACTATACATGCTTTCATTTACCAAAATTTGAATGACATTGTTATCATAATGTATTTAGCATTATAAGTAACCTCTATACAGCAAATGAGTAGTGCCAAGGTTCCTTTATATCTGTGTTCTGTCACACATTGTGGGTGTGTAATGATGCAGAGGGATGACATCACCGGCGTCTGGCGTCATACCACCACATCATCAGCGGACAGTCTCTCTGTCCAACATATTTGTGTAGCGGACAGTTTAGGTTCACCCGGCAGTAGCTATTAACGTCTGTATGTTGTCCAGGTTGAAATCAGATACTCCGCCTGTTAAAATGTCACTCAGAGCGCTCCAGGCTCTGTGTTAACAGATGAGTGAGCTTTATAGGCCAGAGGAATGACGTCAAGCACTCGCAGCCTGAATCCGTTCCTCCCTGTGATGAGCAGCTGACTCATATTGCTGCATGTTGGTCAGGTGTCATGAGGTGACTAATAGTTTCATGATGGAGTCTACGGTAGAAAAGGTTATGATTCCTGTGGCCAATGTTTGTGCTTGATTTATTTTGAAAAGGGTGAAATTCAAATCTATTAGTCTGAGTGGTAAAGTCTGGGTCAGGTAAGTTTTTCAGACTAAAAGTAATTACTGACTGTAAGTCACGTTGTCGTGCAGTTTGAAATAGAGTGACGTTACCTGTGACGTTAGAAAACCATGTGCATGATTTAAATGGAATGTAAAGCCTCTGTTTCAAATGTTCTATGGCCTAAAAGTCTGGAGCCATGTTAGTGGCCATGTAATGCTGTGGTTTCATTACACCTGAACACAAAAGTGAAGAAGAAGAGGGAGTTTGCTGTTCTTACCGCCAGTAGCTGTGACACCTAAAGTCACACCTGTAGAGGTAGATACTTCTGTCAGGATGCCACTTTTTAATTTAATTTTTTTAATTTTTCATTGACTGATAGAGCACATCTACTCGGCGACCCATAGAGGTGCCAGATGAAAAGTCATATCAATCGGATAATGAAATGAATCCTGTCATACACATCATCACAGCAATCTATCCATCAGTTGTCAGTATTTAGCCCTCCAGATAAAGTGTTGTACGTACAACTGCACGTGGTTAAATGCGCAGAAAGAGAATTTTGAAATCTAATGGAACAGTGCAGGATAGAGAAATCTCTCCAGCCTCTGACTGATCTGTGATCAGGGTTACAAATGTTTAACTAAGAATTGATAGATGTAAACTTATATGACATCTTGCATGTAGTCAAGGTCCAATGACACTAAAGTCATGTCTGTGCAAATAAGTGAGCATCTCTTACTTAATGTCTGAAAAAACAATTTGTAAATGATGTATAATATTTATTTTTTATTATGAGCTTATTACTAAGATGTGTGTGGATGCTCACACAGGTATATACTGTTTTAAGGCTGTTTCAATAAGAATATGTGAATGTTGGTAATAATGAGAAAGTATGTTGTTATATATACTTTTAGAGAAATGTTGTTATAGAGACTGAGCAGATTATTTTGGGGCGGAGACAGTGATACGCAGCCGTAGGCTTACGTGCATGTGAAAAATTTCAGACATGACCAGAGGCTGCTGCTCCACGTGACTGGGCTGCACGTTTTCACACGCTCACACACACATGCGCTCCCACACACTCACACACACACACACACTCACACACAGTGTTGTTGGGCAGATGGTCTCGTGTTGTCACATTCAGACTGACCTGCAGAGTTACAGGGTGACTGTTACAGTCGTACATGCCTGGGCCAGCACCTTCACAGGCTTTGGCCTTTTGCTCAACTTTTATAGCACAAGAACTTCTGTGAATAGACGTACAACCAAAGCTACTACAATAAAACGTCATTTTCCTCTGTGGCGTTTTTGGCTTCTTGTTACAAGAAGGTGTAGTAAAGATGAATTAATGTTAACACAGTTTGTGGTGTTACTGTGTGGCACTGAAAGCACTTTCATGTGCAGCGTAAAGCCATTTTCAGACATGAACTCCAGAGGAAGTCCGGAGAATTGGGTCTGGACTTTCTGTGGAGTTAGTCCTTCACACACGCACAACGCAGTAGGAGGCAACAATGCAGAAATCTCCAGTGCATTCATGGAAATCTGTGGTGCAGCAGGCAGAGTCAGGATATACCGTATTTACCGTCTTTTTTTTTGCAGCACATTAACACAGGCATAGGCCTCATCCCCAGAAACTCGCTTGACATCTTTGCCAGTTCCTTTAAGGACACTTCAGCAAACGTAATGGAGGAACCTCCACCTCCTGAGCCACAGTCAACCACACTTAAGGTCATCAGCAGTGAAGCCCAAGAATTGTTGAATAAGATTCCTGGAAAAGTCCAACCGAGAGAGGAGAGGGGAGGAGTGATGAGCGGAAACCCAGAGTGAACTTGCCTCGGGCTACAGAGAAGGCAAAACGGGCAAATGTCAATTCAGGTCTGATGCACCGGAAGGGTTGAAAGGGACAGAAGCAGGAGTAGATTCATGGTTTTGGAGTGGAAAGTTTTCAGGTTTGTGAGTGCAGCAAAAATTGCTTTAAGAACAATAAAGTCAAGGCAAGATGGAGGAGCACGTCTGAGGATGAGGGCAGGAAGGAGGATGACAGACAGAATTAAAGAGCATCAATGTACTGCAGAATTAAAAGAAAGCAAGAATATAAAAGATCAATTTTTCAATCTATTTTTATTTGCATAGCCCATATTCACAAATCACAATTTGCCTCATAGGGCTTAACAAGGAGTGACGTCCTCTGTTGTTAACCCTCAGCCAGAGTGAGGAAAATCTGTAGAAACTTCAGAGAGAGGGGACAGACAGAGGTCCACGATCAACGTTCAACAATCAACCATCACGATCATGATCCACGATGTGGCCCCTGCAGCGGTCCTGGATCTGCAAACGATAATGCACAAAGACTCGGAGGAAAAAGTCAAGTCAGCAACATGATGAAGAGGGAGAAGAGGAAAGAGAGGCTCCATGTGCCATGAGTCCCCTGACAATCTAGGTCTATATCAGCACAACTAGTCCAAGACAGAACCTGAACAAACTATAATCTTTTTCAAAAAGAAGCTTTTAAGATGACTGCTAAATGTAGCGAGGGTGTCTGATAGCTGAAGGCTCTTACCCTACTTTCAGAGTCTTTAGGGACAGCATCTAATCCTGAATTCGGAGAGCACAGCGCTCTAGTGGGGTGATATGGTATAATGAGCTCTTTATGGTATGATGGTGCCATAATATTAAGGGCTTTATAGGTGAGGAGAACGGTGAAACACAACTATCCTCCTGAAAGATCCAGTGTGTAAGATTTAGGTTGGAGGGATCTATTGGGAGAAACTGAATATGAAATAATCATAGTGATATTTTCACTAGTGCGTGACCATCTTTATATTTACATCAGGAGCGGGTCTTCTCTACGGAGGCCGCAATGTTTTTTTTACAGTAGTCCAGACTGTACCTTTAAAGGTACAGTGTGTAGAATTTAGTGACATCTAGTGGTGAAATTGCATGTTGCAGCAAAACACCCCTCACCTCACCCTCTCCTTCTAAACACGAAAAAGAACCTGGTAGCTTCAGCTCTCATTAAAACTCAGTCTGGGATAAAGTAAAAAACATAGCGGCCCCTGTAGAGAGGGTCCCCTCGATGTAAACATAAAGTATTTAAATATATAGGGCCTTTTCTGGGGTAAAGAAAACTACAACTCACACAATTTAGATGATGATCTTACACACTGGACCTTTAAATGTGAACCTTACTGAACAGGAATTGTGCATGGGTGTCATTTAATTGGCCCCCCGGTGGTGA